TATAACATGGTTAATTAAAATAACAGACAACAATTAAATCTCATAAACAAACTTAAAAGAACAAATTTAAAGCATGATGTAATTCATTCATCACCCAAAACAAATAAATAAAAATCACACCATCTCTTAATAAAAAGATTTTACCAATAAAAAATGAATGAATCGTTTCTTTGGGAACTTAAATTAATGAAATAACTACATAAATGAATTAAAACTTACCTGGTATTACCCAAGGCATCGTTTTCATCCACAGCCTTGCCATTGTGGTATTTGGTTTCGGTTGAATTTCCGTTACAAACCGTCTCGGATGCCATTGCGTCCTTTAACACCACGTACGAAGATTATCATTAAGCACCAAAATTAAGGATATATCTTAAGAGTATATCGACCCGTTTTACTTTTCCCTTTGTTTTAATATATCACGCAATTTCCTCTCAAACTAAACCACTTTTTTCCACTGCGATTTCTGTTGTGTTGAGCGTTATCGATTAGCTCGTCTTATCTAATCACCTTATGTCACAACAAACAAATATCCTATTCGAACATATTCATATCAAAATTTAATTATTACCGTTTTAATTTATTATGTTAATACTTAATTTTGTAATTTTTCGTTTTAACACCTTTAAATTAAACAAATTTAAATTTGAAATTAGGTATTTTGATTATTGGGTTTTTTAAAAAGTTGGGTTGGTTAAAAGTTGTGGTGGGATAACAGTGATTTGGCAACGTAGTTTATTAGAGACGTAATTTAAAAGTAATTTTTGATCCCAACACGAGTAATTTTATTTAAATGCAAACATTAATTTTCATTTTAATCTAAATGAAATTAATAAAGGGGTTAAAAATTGATGGTTTTGTTAAATTTTCTTGATTTTGTTATTAAGAATAAAGAATAACTATATTGGGGTCAAACATTTTCGTTGACAGTTAACGTAAATCTACATTGTTGCCAATTTCTCAGTAGTGGTGAATTAACGGTTAAAAAAGCAGGTATAAATACAGTTTCGTAACGTTTTCGCGCGTTATTCCCAACAAGATCGTCTCAACGCACGAACTCGTTCGCACTTGATTAGAAGTCTCGAAGAAAAAACTCAACGTTGAGAAGATGACTGGTCGTGGAAAAGGTGGAAAAGTGCGTGGAAAGGCCAAGTCTCGGTCAAATAGGGCAGGGCTTCAATTCCCCGTTGGTCGCATCCACCGTTTGCTTCGTAAAGGAAACTATGCCGAACGCGTTGGAGCTGGGGCCCCCGTTTATTTAGCGGCTGTCATGGAGTACCTCGCCGCGGAAGTTCTCGAGTTGGCAGGAAACGCCGCCAGGGACAACAAAAAGACTAGGATCATCCCCCGTCACTTACAACTCGCAATTCGTAACGACGAAGAGTTAAATAAGTTATTGTCCGGGGTTACGATCGCCCAAGGTGGAGTTCTACCCAATATCCAGGCGGTGTTATTGCCGAAGAAAACTGGAACAAACACATCCGGGGCTAAAGGAGCCAAAACTGCTTCGCAAGATTATTAAGATTATTTCTTTTAGAACGTAATGAACTTGTATTATTTTTCTGTGTCCTACATCTTCGATAAATTTAGTATTTTTCTTTCGTTTTTGAAATAATTTTGATTTGTAAAAAAAATACTAAAAGATTCTTGGGCATTTATTATTATTAAAGTGATCAAAAAATATTAATTTTTTTATTTTTAACCTTTCGAAATTAATGTATGTATCAATAAAAAGTAATTGATAATATAAAATTTAAAAAAAATGTAAATTTAGGTTATGTTGAAATGTCAAAAAAATTAAACGTCAAAAAATCACTAATTTTATTTGGGGGTTTTAAGTTATAATATTGAATCATATTGATGGTAAAAGGATTTATTGAATTATAAAAGTATGAAAATGGTGTGATTTGGTAATAAAAAAATTAATTAAAAAAAATTTTGAAGGAAAAATTCCATTTTAGGTTATGTTGAAATGTCAAAATGAGAAAATTTCAAAAAATCATTTTAACTTTATTTCGGGGTATTAAGCGGCGATATATAACTGAAATTAAAGCCAAAAGGGTTTATTTTATTATGTTGTATGCAAAAGATTTGATTTGATAATAAAAATTTCCAGAAAAATAATTATTAAGAATGAAGTTGACAGGTAAGGTTATTTTCATGTGTCAAAAAAACTTGTATTTGTCAAAATTGCATTTTAGGTTATGTTATATATCAAAATGAATGTTACAGACTAAATATACAGTGAATTCCACTTAAGATGCAATATACATAAATATATTTCCATAGAAACCTACTTACTTTATCCCACATAAAACGCATTCGGGTCCTTAGACGCACGGCTGAACCCGAAACTTTTTAGTTCTAGTTTTAATTGCTATGCAGTGTTAGATTGTTGTATATTTTTATTGAACTAAAAGTAGCACTAACACTAGACCAAGAACTAGAATCATTCGGCTTTAACCGTCTTATGAGGGCCGATTTACATCAGATGAACGAATACTCATTCTATCCCCATTCTATTAAATTCCTTTAGTATAATAAGACGTAGAGTATTCTTTCGTTGTTCTGTCTACGTTCACAAATATTCTATGGAATATTATAATTCTATCTTTCTTCTTCTTATCGATTTAATTATGGATTGGTCTCAAGAAAAATGTCTATTAATGATAGAAGCCTACCGAAAGTCCAGATGTCTGTGGGATCCGACTTTTGAACACTATAAAATACAATTCGCAAACAAGATTCTTGGCAGGAAATTGCAAATGTAATGTTGAAGAAGCAAAAAAAAAAGATGGATTCGGTTCTTGCAACTTACCGCCGAGAAAGGCAAAAATAATGACTACGAAATCAGGCAGCATTATTGCTATTAATCAGTATTTAAAACTATGCACTTTTTGATGGATAAATATAAACCGAGGAAAACATTTGATTTGGACACTAACCAAAATAAAAATATGGCGAGTATTTATAACAATTTCAGAAAAGGTGTCCAAAGAAATTAGTTATCCAATATTGTTTTGCCATGACAAAATATCTGTGAAATTAAACATTGTAAAGTATGTCTTCGTCTAGTGTTGGATAATGGGAGAAATGATGATAAACGATCCACATTTTTCCAATGACCTGGAGTAACGACGCCATCTTCAATTCTGTCCATCATATCCGGTGAATTATAGGCTTTCTTTTTTATCAAATAATTATGTAGGTTTATGCAGACCATAATGATTGTATAATTTATGAGAGACGCTTTATCTGGTTGTAGTAAGATAGGTTTTCGCAATACACGAAAAACTGCTGAAAGTATGCAAAACGCATGTCTTGATGTCTTCACATTCGGACAGTTCCCAAAATACATTACTGCAGTCTGTAATCACAGATTAACCACCATTCAGATATAGCATTACATATTGTGGATTTAGATATTTTAGTCAAATACATTAGGCTTTCATAGGAACCTCCAGTTGTCAAAAATCTTAATGTCTCTGCTAGCCTGTCATATGCAGGAATCAAGTCTCTAAAATTCGTTGTTGATTTCAAAATTTTTTCCCAATTATAACCGTTCTTTATTTAGTAGCTTTAAATCGGCTAAACATCAACATTGTTGATTTTTGAAAATTAACTCAATCATTTTTAAACTAAAAGCGATGGAGAAATATTTTTTATACATAAAACCTTAGTAATGGACCATAAAGACTAAATCCATAACAAGATTGAACCCAATTATTACTATTTTTTATTTATAAGCTCTAAATCGATTAAACATCAAAATTGTTGATTTTCGAAAATTAACTCAATCATAACTCAAAAACTAAAAGCGATGGAGAAAAACTTTTTATACATAAAACCGTAGTAATGGGCCATAAAGACTAGATCCATAACAAGATTGAACCCAATTATTACCATTTTTTATTTATAAGCTCTAAATCGATTAAACATCAAAATTGTTGATTTTCGAAAATTAACTCAATCATAACTCAAAAACTAAAAGCGATGGAGAAAAACTTTTTATACATAAAACCGTAGTAATGGGCCATAAACACTAGATCCATAAAAAGATTGAACCCAATTATTACCATTTTTTTATTTATAAGCTCTAAATTGATTAAACATCAAAATTGTTGATTTTCGAAAATTAACACAATTATAACTCAAAACTAAAAACGATGGAGAAAAACTTTTTATACATAAAACTTTAGTAATGGACCATAAAGACTAGATCCAAAAAAAGATTGAACTTAATTATTACCATTTTTTATTTATAAGCTCTAAATCAGTGGTGACCCATGACGTCAATTGCCAAAAAAATCATAAATCTGAAATATCTATGTCTGGGCCTCAGAGCAAAAAAAAAGGAAGGTTACTTTAAACCCTTCGGTCGATCTTGATTAAAAATTTGTGCACAACACTGCTATATTGCATTTTATGTGGGGCAATGCAAGTGCATAGTAGTTTCATAACTATGGTGATTGCATTCATATATTGAAAGTTATATGAAATTCCCGGTATACAATCATCTTTTTGGAAGTTAAAACCATGAATTTGCAAACATTAAGTTATTTTCATTGCAGAACTCATTCCATTCATCTTCCTTTCCCTATTTTTGCATTAGTCGCCTATAATTATGTTAAAACTAAGAATAATTTGTAATTAAAAACATTAAATTTTATTAATGTCTTGTTTTTATTACACATTTTTATTTTCAACACTGATTTTTATTTTATTTATTAATTTTTTTTGTTTCAAAGACGTTCATCAACTCTCTAAGTATAAAGTACATAACATAAATATAAATCCCTTTCTTGAATTACCTACTATTTTAATTAATTAATTAAAAAATAAATCCTTAACAAGTTATCATGTAAAACTGTAAAATAGAAGGGTTTTGTATTAAACGATACATACTTAACATAGTTGTTTTTCTTATCCATAATTTTTTGATACAACTAAACCCAATTTTTCGTTTAATTTTCTCTTTTTTAATACAAAAAAAAAACGCATAAATTGCATCTATGTATATAAATTATTAATTATAATTATAAACATTTATCTAAATCAGAAAAAGTTTTTCGGGGAAAGTAATTTTTGATGAGGAGAGATAAAATTGAAATTTTCCTTTTGGATCATCAGATCTAAAACAAATTATTATTAATTTATCAATTAATTAGTATATAATTAATAAATCTTACGCCATCGACGGGATCTGCTTCATCCGCTGAGCTAATGTCATCACCGAATTCGATATCATCATTGAATTCTTCCACAAACGAGACCGTATCGTTAATGCGCACCGTTTCGGGGAATTCGCCGTAAGTTTTCAAATTACGCGCTTCATCTGGGGTGTATTTTAGGATAACATCGGCTTTAGCATCTTGGTAATCTCTCAGACCAATTAAAATAATATCTCCTTGGTTAATCCAAACTTTCTTGCGGAGTTTTCCTCTGATGTGACATAACCTCTTTACGCCATCAAAACATGTTGCTTCAAGGCGGCCGTTTCCCAACATTTTCGTGACTTGGGCGTATTCTTGCCCGTCTTCTTTAAAGACTAATTCACGCTTTTCCGTTTCGTTTTCATTCTTACCTCTCCTTCGATTTTTACCTCCCTTTCCTGGAATCAAAAAAGAAATTTAATTTCATCCGCGTCTAACTTCACACCAATCCATATTGAATTGTCACAAGAAATTGATGTCATCATAAGAAAATAATCTTTATTTATTTAAAAACGATTTAATTCACGATTTAATTAATTTTTTTAAGTTATTTATGAGGGGTGAATCATAAAAATATTAAAAATTATTTACTTGACTAAAAATATGGGCGATTCGGGGAAATATTTTTGTAATTACTTACCTTTATTTTTCGGCATGATTGGTTATTATTATTCTCCGGTTAATCGTAGGAAAAAAAATAGATTAAAATTTGGTCGAAAACGATTATAAACGTGATAAAAAACCGTTCTCGAGTTCTTCAATGCGAGAGAACTGTGGCGAACAGCAGCTGAGGATCACGGGAAAAACAAACGCTTGCGCCATCTACATCCGTCCCCTTCGAGAGACTAATATTCGTGTCAAAAATGGATTCCTACTCCGAACGCGAGGAACGGGGATCCTGTGCGAAAAGACCAAAATTGGACGTTAGCGAATTTAATGCGGGTGTTTTGTGCGACGCGGTCACATTTTCCAATTTTCCGACACCGTCCGGAGCCCAGATCGACTCTACAGAAGGTAAAAATCGCAAAATATGTTTGGTTGTTTAGGAATTTTTTTCAACCCAATATGGCGGCCAAGAACAAAGGCGAACGTCGTCGACATTTTGTAGGCGTGGCTCACTTGGATTTTCGATTATTCGAAATTGTCACTTTTGACATTTGAGTCATTTGACTTTTTCATTCGAGTTTTCATTTCAAAGTTTTTTATTTTAATTCCATTTAAATGTTAAAAAAAAAATGAAAGAAAAACCGGTACGACTCACTTTATTTTTTTCTTTTTTGAAAAATTACTACTTTAATTAATAAAAATTAAATTTAATTAAGTTTTTGCGTTTTTTATTTATATCCTAAATCGCGAATTATTTACTGTTTATATCAAATCACTTTTTCACTCACCACTTTTTAACAGATACGTCGCGTTTTTTTATTGAGGTTATATTTACGTTGATCACATGGTTTTTAAATGTCACTTTTATAACCTTTTTTTTTTTAATTGTCAAATTTTGACAGTTTTTTTTAATTATTAATTTGTATCAAATTACAAAAACGAAATAATTGTTATGTCAGGTTTTAATGTGGATTGTGACTCCGGATATGAAGCTTCCACATTGAGTTCAATGCCAACACCTTCAAATCTTACCTCACCACACACAGATCCAACGGATTTTCAAGAATGTTTACCACCATCGGAAACGGATCACCTAAATCAACTTCACAATGATTTATTCGCATTGGACACATCTCAAGATAGTATTGAAGCCGACGATGACAACGCATCCACGGTTAGTAATTTAAGCGAGCTCAGCGGGATTTCTGAATTATCCGGACACAATTGGAAACCAATGGCTGGAAGTATGGCATGGGTAAGTCTAAAATTTCAATAAAATATGCTCACCTGTGATGATTTAAAACCGTTTCAACACCAAACTATGAATTTTTTATGATTTCTAATTTGTTTTAATGTATATTGACGTAAAAGCTTTGTTTTAAAGTGAAAATGGTTATTATCAGTGACTTTATACTGATGTCACAATCTGTGTATAAAAATAGTATTTGGCAAGTAAAAGTTACTAAGTGGGAAGGTGTTGTTAGAAGTTAAATGTTCCTAAAATTATACATTTAGATTATCTTTAAATTAAACTAAAAAAAATCAAAAAATAAATGATTAATTAAGAACAAAGTTTAACATGAATTAAAAATAAATAAAATAAAGAATTTTATGTCAACATAAATTAATTTAATTCGTTTATTATGAATTTACACACAAATGGTAAAAAAGAAATTGAAAAATTAATAATTGGGACGAATTTGTTGATTTTTTTATTAATTCTCTAATTTATTTGTTATATGTCCAGGGAAATCTTTTAATTTTATGAAGTGAAGCTTTAATTTGGATTAAATCTGCTTTATATCAACTTGGAAATTAATTTCGAACTTGTATTTATAATGAGAATGGAGATTGGATGATTTTTGAAGCAATCAAATTGGTGGATATGATTTAAATGCTTCATAATTACATTAACATATTTACATGAGACGTGTAAATTTAATGTGTAAACTGAAAAAACTATTTATGATGTCTTTCTTGGTGGTTAAAGGCGAGAAACTTTGGAAATAACTTTTTATATTTATCAAATAAAATTTTGTGGAGAATAAGAATCATTCTGAATTATTCTATGTTGTCTTAGCCAGCTTATTAATACGATTTTATGTTAAAAGGAATTAACAATTTATAATTAATCTATTGTATGTTAAGAATTAGATTTGAGTTTTTGTTAATGTCTCATTATTAATGTCACCAAGTAATATAATCGCCAGGATGTAGAATAATAATCTGTTTTACTTGTGAAGTTGTAAATAGTTAAAACAATAGCCAACAATATACACTGGATCCACCCTAAAATGTGGAACAAGAATATGAGCTAATGATACTTCATGAACATAATATAAGACAAAAATTAGAGAGGTACTTAATAAAGTAAAAACAGAGAATTTCAATACTGGGAATATAAATGTGCCTAGATTAACATACATATTGAGGGAGCACAGTCCATAGAAGTATGGCAAAAGAAAAATAGATGAAAAATAAGAAAGAATTTAATATCTATTGAAAAATGGAAAAATTGCTATAAACTACTACTGACTAAAAAAGGTCAAGAAATCCATAATATACAAGATATGAGTATGATTGAAGATTGCGCCAGATGAATATAACAGTAGAGATGATAAAAAATAGTGGTGAGACATTATGGATGAGAATAAGAGAAATAGAACTATAATGGTATTTGTATTACAAGCACCATGAGTAGGCTGTACAGAAAGATGTTACAGAACAGAATAAGAGAAATCAGCTTTACCCTTTAATGTACAGATAATTTATTCATTCTGAAATAGTTGATGGAAAAAAAGATAAGAAAAGATGAAGAAGTAATATAGCAAGAAATAAACTATGGAATGTGTTGCAGATATGTTGAAGACCCTATGATTGCGATAATAAAAGAATTATAAAAGTTTTCCAGCAAGGATGTTACTTGTCACTGGTGCTTTTAATATACAGGGTGTCTCGCGCAAGTGACAAAGTACGTAAATTACATTTAGAAGCTGAGATACACAGTTCTTCCTTACAATTAGATTAAACTTTTAGGAAATTTACCATACTATAAACTCAAAATATTTTTATATATATAGGATGTTCCATAACGACGTATCGAAATAAACATAATATAGAGGGTGGTTCAGTTTTTAATGGGGAAACTACACTAAGACGTACTACTTGCCAAAATAACACAAGTTTTTCATATAAAGGTAGCTTATTCTTTAGTGGTACTTTTTTGTCTCTTTATTATTTTTCTTAAAGGAAACTAAGTGGAAATTATTAATTTCCATGTAAATAAATAAAATATCGTGCTATGTGCCGCCAAGTTTATCTTGCTAACCACGGTATTGGACCTACCATTTTTTTTGTAAAAAAATTATTAAATATAGATTCAATTTGACGTTTCTTGAAAATGAAATTGCAAAAATTTTTTTTTCTCCTAAACGGTTAGGAATTAATAATTGAAACTTTTTGAAGTTGTAAAAGAACATCTGAGGTTAGATCATACCAAATTTTATGTTTCCAACATTAACAATTTTTTGTAAAAAAATTATTAAATATCATTGATTTAATTTGACGTTTCTTGAAAATGAAATTTCAAAAATTTTTTTTTCCTAAACGGTTAGGAATTAATAATTGAAACTTTTTGAGGTTGTAAAAGAACATCTGAGGTTAGATCATACCAAATTTTATGTTTCCAACATTAACAGTTTTTTGTAAAAAAATTATTAAATATCATTGATTCAATTTGACGTTTCTTGAAAATGAAATTTCAAAAATTTTTTTTTCTTAAACGGTTAGGAATTAATAATTGAAACTTTTTGAGGTTGTAAAAGAACATCTGAGGTTAGATCATACCAAATTTTATGTTTCCAACATTAACAGTTTTTTGTAAAAAAATTATTAAATATCATTGATTCAATTTGACGTTTCTTGAAAATGAAATTTCAAAAATTTTTTTTTCTTAAACGGTTAGGAATTAATAATTGAAACTTTTTGAGGTTGTAAAAGAACATCTGAGGTTAGATCATACCAAATTTTATGTTTCCAACATTAACAGTTTTTTGTAAAAAAATTATTAAATATCATTGATTCAATTTGACGTTTCTTGAAAATGAAATTTCAAAAATTTTTTTTTCTTAAACGGTTAGGAATTAATAATTGAAACTTTTTGAGGTTGTAAAAGAACATCTGAGGTTAGATCATACCAAATTTTATGTTTCCAACATTAACAGTTTTTTGTAAAAAAATTATTAAATATCATTGATTCAATTTGACGTTTCTTGAAAATGAAATTTCAAAAATTTTTTTTTCTTAAACGGTTAGGAATTAATAATTGAAACTTTTTGAGGTTGTAAAAGAACATCTGAGGTTAGATCATACCAAATTTTATGTTTCCAACATTAACAGTTTTTTGTAAAAAAATTATTAAATATCATTGATTCTATTTGACGTTTCTTGAAAATGAAATTTCAAAATTTTTTTTTCTCCTAAACGGTTAGGAATTAATAATTGAAACTTTTTGAGGTTGTAAAAGAACATCTGAGGTTATATCATGCCAAATTTTATGTTTCCAAAATTAACAATTTTTTGTAAAAAAATTATTAAATATCATTGATTCAATTTGACGTTTCTTGAAAATGACTGAATATTTAAAAAGTTTTGCTCTGTTAATCATTTCCATGAAGTGCTTAGTGTAAATTTAAATGATATGGATGGTAGTTGTGAAGCCTTATATTATTGTTTACTGAGCTTTTATTCATATCTGTTGCTCTAGCGATCTTTCCTCAATGTTTAGGTATATCGATACATCCAGTATCTTCAAATTTAAGTAGTGCATTATCAAAACATCGCCGGCATTTAGGTATCTTTCTCTGTATGTATAGAAATAAATAGTGTGGTATATTTCCTACAACTTTTGTCTAAGGAAAAACTGTGTATCTCGGCTCCTTATTGCCTGTCATGTACTTTACTGCTTACATGGGACCCTTGTATATGTCGACACGGTTTTGAAGAGGTGGAAACGTACTTATCTAAGCATGGAGATCCTGTTAATGATAAATATCTTGTATTATTAAGTTTTGCTGATGATTAGGTGACTTTAATGCAATATGGTTTATATGGTTGTAAAGTTTGAAGTTAAATGTTATGTTTTAATTAATGATAATACCGATGTGAGGCAAGTCCAGGAATTTAAATAACTAGAAAAGATATAGAATAAAGTTAAAAAGACAGGAGAATCGTTGGAACCCTTAAAACAGATGGATCAGATTACAATACATATTATTAAATCAAGAAATAAGGAACGGAACACCTACTAGGTTTGAACACCTACTCAGTATTGATGGCACAAAATAACCAAAAATATTGGAATAAAAGATGATGACCATGTAGATCCATCTTCAAACCATCGTTTGTTAAAAATTAGCTTTAACTTGCATTGTCACAGTGATAATACAGCAATTCGTTTAAATATTGTTTCCTAAATCCAGTTCTTTTCCATTTTGAGAATTCTCCATTATCGTTGGTGTTCTCATAAAGTGAGTGTCTGCCTATTCTCATGAATTGTTCCTGTTTTGCGGAGTTGGGACCTGGAGGTAGGATTTGTTGGTGCGTCTTGAGTAGACTGTGGGCATTACTAAGAATTTGTACAACCCAACAATCGGTATCTTATGCTGCTTCTGAAACCCTCTCACCAACCATTTGAATTCCCTTAAAACTAACTTACAAGGAGGAAACTTGTTTAAATCTCTGACACGAAATAAAAAAAAAAAGAGAAGTTCAAAATCACAGTTTTACCTTTGGGGGAATTCATGGCATCTTACAAACATATTGGAAATAAAGAAAATTATAAGGACTTCACATACTGCTCTGAAGTAATTCAGCTATATTAATTAGCAGATCCAGACATAATTTAAAATTTGTATTACTTTTTATTTAAATTACTTTATATTTATTTCATGTTTAATTTTGTTCTTAATTAGATATGCTAAACGATTTTGAAATTATTTTTATAAAGTAAGTAATAAGTCACTATTCTTATACCATCCAGAGACAACTTGCAACACCATAATTACATATAAAAGTGGTTATCTTAAAATTTTTTTTATTTTTATCGCTTTTCATTGTTACTCTTAATTTAATCGTTAATGTATTATTGTATAAATTTTAATTCATTTCTCTTTTTGTTTAATAATCAGATTAAAAAGCAAATGGCAAGTGGTGTAGATCCGCGCGCTTTATTAATAGAATTAGGAGTTGAGCTACAAGATTTACCTGCGAGCGTGGACGATCTCATGTTATGGAAATTAATTATAAACATGCTTGCTGAACCACCCAGACGACATAAATTGAGACACGTTAACACAATAGATGATGTAGTTAGGCTTTTAAAAGGTGAAATATTCCAAAATCATTATTTCTAAAATGATTATCTAATTTAATTATTATTTTAGGTGCCAAAAATGTGATAGTTTTAACCGGGGCGGGTGTTTCAGTTTCTTGTGGAATACCCGATTTTCGTTCAAAAGATGGGATTTATTCACGTTTAGCGATAGATTTCCCCGATCTTCCAGATCCGCAGGCTATGTTTGATATAAATTATTTTATAAACGATCCTCGGCCGTTTTTTAAATTCGCTAAAGATATTTACCCAGGAAAATTCAAACCAAGCCCTTGTCACAGGTTTATAAAACTTTTAGAACGGCACAATAAACTATTAAGAAATTACACGCAAAACATCGATACTTTAGAGAAAGTTGCCGATATTCAAAACGTTATTGAGTGCCACGGATCGTTTGCAACTGCAACTTGTACAAAATGCCAAGTTCAATTAACAGCGGAGGCAATTCGCGACGTGGTTTTATCCCAAAACATTCCTATTTGCCAGTTTTGTCAGCCGGAAATTGGGGAATCGGCTTCGATAGAAAGTTTTAAAGATCGCGAAGTGGGTGCTTTGAAGAGGCTCGTTGAAAATGGGATTATGAAGCCGGATATTGTATTTTTTGGGGAAGGATTACCCGATACTTTTCATGAAGCGATGGCTGAGGATAAAAATAAATGCGATTTATTAGTGGTTATTGGGTCATCGCTTAAAGTTCGACCAGTCGCTTTAATTCCGAGTTCTTTACCCGCCAATGTTCCTCAAATCCTAATTAATAGAGAACCTTTACCTGATTGTCATTTCGACGTTGAATTACTTGGTGATTGTGATGGAATTATTAATCATATTTGTCAACTGTAAGTTATTAATAATTAATTAATTAATTAATTTAATGAAAATATGATTTGATTTAGATTGGGAAATTCGTGGAGTGACCCAGTTTATCGAAACCAACTTTTAAAAGAAACAGTACAACTCCTTCCATGGATTAAAGAAGATCCAATTTTATGTCCACCACCGACTATTCCAAAAACGTTGGAAGACGCGGCGTGTAAGTGTTCCTTTTCAAATAACAAAAACATTTGTGACAAAAAACCATCATCTTCTGGTCAAAATCTTAATCAAATTAATCATCCGTCCGGTTGTGTGTGCACCCTATCAAATCAACCAGTCGATTCGTCATCGTTTGAATTCTTACACGACGATTCTGGTTACGCGAGAGACTCAATCAAAGAACGACACGAATCGATTGATTCAGCCCGAGATTCCGGAATCGGAGATAATTCAAATTTCATGGACGGCGATACGATGACGGAAACTGTTACGATGTCGGATATGCGAGGTTATTGGCAACCGAAAGAAAAAAGGAGTATAGCGGAGCGTTTACCTAAAGATAGCTTTTATTTAATACCGCCTAGTAGATATATTTTTCCGGGTGCTGAGGTTTATTACGACCCCGATAATTATTTGGATAATAGTTCAAGTTCAGATTCAACAGAGAGTGAGTCTGAACAAGACAATTTAGATGTTTCATTTTAATTTATTTAAATAATTTGATGGCTAAATCTGAATGTTTCTAATTTTAGATTTAGTTCAATAAAAATATACAACAACATGGCATAAACTAGAATTATCATTAACATTATAACTATACTCTGTTTTTAAACCAGGAGGAGTAAACGCGAAAGTCAGATTTACACTAAGAAAAATCAAATAATTAAATTAATAATTATTATTTATTTATTTGCTTATTATTATGAAATTTGTTGTGAACGACTTATTAGGGTCACGATCCTATTAGATTTCACTCAATTAAATTTACAACAATGACATTCAAAATCAAAATTCAAAATTGACTGTGTGTGAACCTTCCTCGCATTCAACCAATCACGTGCAAGGTCAATCTGGTGACAAATTTAAAATACTCCTCCTGGTTTAAAAACAGAGTATAGAACTAATGTGTCTTGAGGGACACAAACTTGAATAATTCTTGTTCTAGGTCTAATGTTAGTTTTAGTTTAATGAAATGTATAACAATCTGGTGTTGAACAACAACTAAAACTAGGATTAACACTTAATAGAACTAACACTAGATCTAGAACTAGAAACATTTGAGGTTAGCTGCACGTCTCTAAAGAAGGATAAACCCGAATAATTCTAGTTCTAGAACTAGTTCCGGTTTTAGTTCAATAATAATACATAAGCTAGGGCTATCTANGGTTAGCTGCACGTCTCTAAAGAAGGATAAACCCGAATAATTCTAGTTCTAGAACTAGTTCCGGTTTTAGTTCAATAATAATACATAACCTAGGGCTATCTAGTGCGAACTAGCGCTACTTAGAACTGTCACTAGAACTAACTCTAGATCTAGAACTAGAATCATTCGGGTTTAGCCGTCTTTAGAGACGTGTGGCTAAACCCGAATGTTTCTAGTTCTAGATCTAGTGTTAGTTTTAGTTCAATAACAATACACAACCTAGCGCTATCTAGTGCTCACTAGCGCTACTTACAACTGTCACCAGAACTAACACTAGACCTAGAACTAGAATCATTCAGGTTTAGCCGTCTTTAGAGACGTGTGGCTAAATCTGAATGTTTCTAGTTCTATGTCTAGAGTTAGTTCTAGTTTTAGTTTAATAACAGTACACAACCTAGCGCTATCTAGTGCTCACCAGCGATATTTAGAACTGTCACCAGAACAAATACTAGACCTAGAACTAGAATCATTCGGGTTAGCCGTCTTTAGAGACGTGTGGCTAAACCCGAATGTTTCTAGTTCTATGTCTAGAGTTAGTTCTAGTTTTAGTTTAATAACAATACACAACCTAGCTCTATCTAGTGTTAACTAGCGCTACTTAGAACTGTCACTAGAACTAACTCTAGATCTAGAACTAGAATCGTTCGGGTTTAACCGTCTTTATAGACGTGTAGCTAAACCCGAATATTTCTAGTTCTAGGTTTAGTGTTTGTTCTAGTTTTAATTCAATAACAATACACAACCTAGCTCTATGTAGTGCTAACTAGCGCCACTTAGAACTAATTCTAGATCTAGAACTAGAATCATTCGGGTTTAGCCGTCTTTAGAGACGTGTGGCTAAACCCGAATGTTTCTAGTTCTAGGTCTAGTGTTAGTTTTACTTTTAATTCAATAACAATACACAACCTAGCGCTATCTAGTGCTTACTAGCGATACTTAGAGCTGGCACCAGAACTAACACTAAACCTAGAATTAGAATCATTTGGGTTTACCAGCACGTCTCTAAACACAGCTAAACCCAAATGTTTCTAGTTCTAGGTCTAGTTTTAATTCAATAACAATACACAACCTAACTCTATCTAGTGCTAACTAGCGCTATTTAAAACTGTCACTGGAACTAGTACCGGTTTTAGATTAATAACAATCAGAGATGTGAAAAATACTTTTAAAAAAGTATTTAAATGCAAACAGTTTCAAATTTTTGTACTTTAAATACAAAATCGTAAGTACTTAGTAGTAGTACTTTTTTTAATTTAGTACTTAAATACAAATTACGTATTTTCAAAATACTTTTTTTAAACACCACTACGTTTTTTTTTAAAAAATTTTTTTCTTTAAGGGGCCTTTACACGTTCAATATGTTGTCAATATCTGAGTATTGAAATCCAATCTAGTGGCTCTGCTACAGATTATTCGTAGATTATTGGTTGTCTCTAGGAAAGAAAAAACGCAGGATTAGATTAGCCAAGCTGTATATGAACATGAATTTACTTTGTAGATTTTAAAATCACAAGTTTGTCAAATGACTCATTTTTCTTCTGTGAGGCCTCATTATTATTCCGCCAAAAGAAAAAAAGCCTTTTTTTGGAGCAGAACTTGGAATACAGATATTATATTTAATAAATCATTTAAATAATTCAAATTATCGTCACTATGTTTCAAATAATGAAGTATTTCTAAGTCAGTAGTGATGTTACTTTTACTATCACTTGTTACAGACTTTTCTTCCTTTTTGCGTTCTTTATTTTTTTATTTTTGACCCTTTGCAGTAGATTAATCCAAATACAAGTCACAATTAAAACGCTTGTTTATACTTTTTTCTATTATATCAATTAAAGTACTGTAGTACTTTGGATTATCAGTTTTTAGCGAAGTTAACATTCGTCGCATACGCATTAGTTCCGGTAGATGCCTACTACCATAATAAGTTTCTTGGTCTCCTTCTAAGCTTCTAATGGAGTCAGCAATTGGTTTTAAACAAATTATGTATTCGGAGAGGTAGTCTATTTTATTGTCTTTAAAAGGTGGCAAGTTTAGTTTTCTTAACCTATTAAATAAATTATAAATAATAAATTAAATTCTATGAAATTTAGGACAATAGTAGCGACAATCTTGCATTGTGGCTATGGGCAAGAGTTATGGAAAAACCATTAAAATTAAGACAAGTCAGCAATGAAATTAAGTTGTAGACAATCATGTTAGAGAAGTTTAAGAAAAAAGTATTTAGTATTTTCAAAATACAAAATAAGTTACTAAAAGTATGTTAAATAAAGTACAAAATACTTTTGGTGGAATGGCATTTAAAATACAGAATAGAAAATACGTATTTTGTATTTAAATACTTTTATTTCAAATAAGTAGGTAACATCTCTGATAACAATATACAACCTAGGGCTATCTAGTGCCTAGATAGTTAGAACTGTTACTAGAACTAATACTAGACCTAGAATTAGAATCATTTGGGTTTAGCCACACGTCTCTAAAGACGGCTAAACCCGAATGATTCTAATTCTAGGTCTAGAGCTAGTTCCAGTTTTAGTTCANACTAGCGCCACTTAGAACTATCACTAGAACTAACTCTAGATCTAGAACTAGAATCATTCGGGTTCAGCCGTCTTTAAAGACGTGTGGCTAAATCCGAATGTTTCTAGTTCTATGTCTAGAGTTAGTTTCAATTCAATAATAATACACAACCTAGCTCTATCTAGTGCTAACTAGCTCCACTTAGAACTATCACTAGAGCTAACTTTAGATCTAGAATTAGAATCATTAGGGTTTAGCCGTCTTTAGAGACGTGTGACTAAATCCGAATGTTTCTATTTCTATGTCTAGAGTTAGTTTTAATTCAATAACAATATACAACCTAGCGCTATTTAGAACTGTCACTAGAACTAACTCTAGATCTAGAATTAGAATCATTTGGGTTTACCAGCACGTCTCTAAAGATAGCTAAACCCAAATGTTTCTAGTTCTAGGTCTAGTGTTAGTTCTAGTTTTAATTCAATAATAATACACAACCTAGCTCTATCTAGTGGTAATTAGCGCTACTTAGCACTGTCACTAGAACTAGTACCAGTTTTAGATTAATAACAATCAGAGATGTGAAAAATACTTTTAAAAAAGTATTTAAATACAAAATGCAAATAGTTTGAAATTTTTGTACTTGAAATACAAAATAGTAAATACTTTTTTAAATTTAGTACTTAAATACAAAGTACGTATTTTCAAAATACTTTTTTTTAAAATCACTACAATTTTTTTGTTAATGTTTTTCTTTTAACGAGCCTTCACACGTTCAATACGCAGTCAATATCTGAGTATTAAAATCCAATCTAGTGGTTCTGCTATAGATTATTCGTAGATTATTGGTTGTCTCTAGGAAAAAAAACCGCAGAATTAGATTAGCCAAGATGTATATGAAACCAAATAACTCATTTTTCTTCTTTGAGGCCTCATTATCATTCCGCCAAAAGAAGAAAGGTGTTCTATTTTAGCAGAACTTGGAATACAGATATTATATTTAATAAAAACTTTTTTAATTGATGCATATCCATCTAAATAATTCTCAAATTATCGTCACTATCTTTAAAATAATGACGTATTTTTAAGTCAGTAGTGGTGTTACCTTTAACTATCATTTGTTACACACTTTCTTTCCTTTTTGCGTTCTTTATTTTTTATTTTTGACCCTTTGCAGTAAATTCATCCAAATCCAAGTAACAATTAAAATGCTTGTTTATACTTTTTTCTCCTTCTAAGCTTCTAATGGAGTCTGCAATTGGTTTTAAACAACTTATGTATTCTGAGAGGTAGTCTATTTCATTGTCTTTAAAATGTGGCAAGTTTAGTTTTCTTAACTTATTAAATAAAGTATAAATAATAAATTAAATTCGGGATAAATCCCTACGTATATAGGAAGGCTGCATTGGCAGTCTAAAGCTCGCTCTAACCTCTCAAGTCAGCAATGAAATTAAGTTTTAGACAATCATATTAGAGAAATTTAAGAAAAAAGTATTTAGTATTTTCAAAATACAAAATCAAAAAAGTTACTAAAAGTATGTTAAATATGTTAAATAAAATACGTATTTTGTATTTAAATACTTTTATTTCAAATAAGTAACATCTCTGATAACAATATACAACTTAGGGCTGTCTAGTGCCTACATAGTTAGAACTGTTACTAGAACTAACACTAGACTTAGAATTAGAATCATTTGGGTTTAGCCACACGTCTCTAAAGACGGCTAAACCCGAATGATTCTAATTCTAGGTCTAGAGCTAGTTCAGTTTTTGATCAATAACAACCTAGCACTGTTCAGAACTGTCTCCAGAACTAACTCTAGGTCTAGAACTAGAATCATTCGGGTTTAGCCGTCTTTAGAGACGTGTGGCTAAACCTGAATGTTTCTAGTTCTATGTCTAGAGTTAGTTTTAGTTTAATAACAATACACAACCTAGCGCTATCTAGTGCTAACTAGCACTACTTGGAACTGTCACTAGAACTAATACTGGATCTAGAATTAGAATCATTTGGGTTTAGCCACACGTCTCTAAAGACGGCTAAACCCGAATGATTCTAATTCTAGGTCTAGAGCTAGTTCCAGTTTTAGATCAATAACAATACACAACCTAGCGCTATTCAGTACTGCCACTAGAACTAACTCTAGATCTAGAACTAGAATCATTCGGGTTTAGCTGTCTTTAGAGACGTGTGGCTAAACCTGAATGTTTCTAGTTCTATGTCTAGAGCTAGTTCTAGTTTTAGCTCAATAACAATACACAACCTAGCGCTATTCAGAACCGCCACTAGAACTAACTCTAGATCTAGAACTAGAATCATTCGGGTTTAGCCGTCTTTAGAGACGTGTG